CGAATCAACTCTTCCGTCGCCGATGCCGCTAAAGCCGCAGCGTCCGCCATGCTTTGACCCAAGTCAGCGGGGTGGTCCTACCGTTCAGGCGTGGCTCTTCACGCTGAACGTCTTCTTCGACGCGAACTACGTCTCGGAGGATACGGCGAAGATTCGCTACGCCGTGTCGCTGCTGCGAGGACCCGCCATGGACTGGTGGCGCGTCATCGTCACGAAGCCGGTGGACTACGCGACTCTACCGACACGGGAAGGACAAACCGGACCCTGGGCGCCGTCGTATTTCGTGGAGGTGCCCCAGTATCGCACGTGGGACGCGTGGTGCGCAGGTCTGGGCGCTCGTTTCGAGCCAATCGCGGCTTCGATCGCGGCGCGACAGAAGCTCCGCACTTGGCGCCAACTCGGTTCCGTCCAAGAATACACGAGCGGATTTCTGGCGCTATGCGAGCAGGTGGGATATATGCACGAGAGCGAGCGCATCGACCGCTACATCGGCGGCCTGAAGCAGGACATCGCTCAGGAAATCCAGCTTCGCAGCGTCACCGATTTTCAAGAAATTCTCGCTATGGCGGAGAAACTTGATTTCTTCCGCCGACCGAGACCGGGGTCCTACGGAAGCAGCCATTGGGGACATCGGCCTCGTGGGACGAACGAGGGCGCCACGATATGTGCCGTCGCCGCAAATGCCGCTGCCGCACCGTTCAAAGGGCGCTGCTTTGCGTGCAATCGGCCGGGACATCGCAAGAGTGAATGCCCGGAAAACGCTAAGGGAAAGGGGGAAGCTGAGCAGCAGAAACAGACCAAGCAGCAGGGAAACGCTGGGAGTCAGTAGCAGACGGGCCCTCTACTGACAGGTCACGCCGCTCGCCCGACCCAACCGACCCTCACCGAGTGATTGTGCCGGTTCACGCAATCGACCACACTCGGCCGAATAAGGAGGGGACTACGGTAGACAGCCCCATACTGCTTAGTGGGAAAATCAGGACGGACTTAGTTAAAATCTTCGTAGATGGGGGAGCTAGCCACAGCCTCATCAACACTGCTACAGCACGAAAACTGCGACTGCCACTGGACAAATGTTTACCTGAGATCGACGCACGACTGGTAGACGGCACGCCGCTGGCAATATGGGAACGCGTAGACCGGGTTTGGATTCGATGTGGGGGTAACTTCACGTTTAGCCAGGAAATGCTCGCAACGACCCTCGACGGAACCGATATTTTACTCGGGCGTGATTGGCTGTGACGACACAATCCGCGAATCGACTGGACGACGTGTGACTGCACCGTGCGAGTGAACGGTAACAACATCGCCCTACCTTGCTGGGGCTCGCCTGAGTCTTCGTCGGTGCGTGTCAACGCGATCACGATGAAACGCGCCGTAGCGGCAGGAGCTGACGTGTACGCGGTCGACATTCGGGAAGCCGCAGCAGCAGACAAAGGAGGGAATTTACAGAAACTGCTGGCCGACGTACCGAGTGACCTGGCAGCACTGTTGAAGCAGTACAGCGACATTTTCCCGGATGATTTACCGACGGGAGTGCCACCTCAGCGACCGCACGACCACAAGATAGAGCTAGAACCGGGGGCACAGCCAACAGTACAGCGACAGTTCCGACTGACCCAGCCCGAACTGGACGAACTGAGGATTACCTGCTCGAGAAGGAATTCATCCGCCCTAGTTCGTCGCCTTTCGCAGCACCGATACTGTTCACACTGAAAAAAGACGGGGGATTTCGCATGTGCATAGACTACAGAGCACTGAACAGGGTTACCATCAAATCCCGTTACCCCATCCCGCGAGCCGACGAACTGATCGACCAACTGCGCACAGCCCGGGTTTTCTCGAAGATTGACCTCCGAGGGGGTTACCACCAGATTCGCGTCAACCCGCCCGACTGCCCTAAGACCGCATTCCGCACACGCTACGGATCCTTCGAATACACCGTCATGCCTTTCGGACTGACCAACGCCCCCGCCACTTTTCAAATGACCATGAACGAAGCTTTCCGCCCGCTCTTAGATAAGTGCGTCATAGTATACCTGGACGACATACTGATTTACAGCCCTGACAGAGCACAGCACTTACAGGACATCGAAGCAGTTTTTAAAATACTGAGTGAGAACCGCCTACTTACAAAAGAGTCTAAGTGTGAATTTTTACAGGATCGCCTGGAGTTTTTGGGACACGTTATTTCAGCTGCAGGAGTGGAAATAGACCCGAAAAAAATTGCGACGATTCAAGCATGGCACGCGCCGACCAACTTGACTGAGTTGCAGAGTTTTTTGGGGTTCGTCAACTACGTGCGCCGGTTCGTCCCCGACATGGCGAAGCTGACTGCCCCGCTGACAGACCTGCTGAGGAAGGGGGTTGAGTACACGTGGGGGGAGAAAGAGCAAGCTGCCTTCTCGTCCCTCAAAAACATTTTGTGCTCACCGCCCGTGCTTCACATCGCAGATCCCCACCGTCCGTTCGAGCTCGTCACTGACGCAAGTGACATCGCTGTGGGAGCAGTACTGTTGCAGGATTTCGGGAACGGCCTCCAGCCAATCGCGTACGAGTCCCGCAAACTGCACCCGCCCGAACACAACTACCCGATACACGACCGCGAAATGTTGGCGATCGTGCACGCGTTCAAAGTTTGGTGGTGTTACCTGACTGGCGCCGACGTGACAGTACGGACAGACCACCGATCACTACAGTACCTACGCGCCCAACCAAATCTCAACCCGCGACAGATTCGCTGGTTAGACTACCTCGAGTCCAACTTCCACTACACGGTTACGTACAAGAAAGGCGCATCCAACATCGCCGACGCACTCACCCGCCCTACCGCCCAACTCCATGCCATTCTACTCGCCCAGACCAACCCGCTTTTAACAGGCCTATTCACCCACGGATACCGCACCGACCCATTTTTCACGACTGGAAACTCACAGCAACTGGCAGAAGCTAAAGGAGTTTATTACGTAAAAACAGGCACCAACCGCATCTGGGTACCCGCGTACTCACTACTGAGGGAGCTGCTACTGCAGGAGGCACATGACGGAATTACCTCAGGACATTTTGGGGTAGAAAAAACGCGACAGCAACTGCAGCGGTATTACTACTGGCCGGAGCTGTTGACCGACGTACAGCAGCACGTGGGCTCGTTCCCCACGTGTCAGGTGATGAAAAGCTCGAGGAAGCGGAAGGCGGGTCAATTGCAGCCGATACCACCGCCCGAGCGCGCCTGGCAGCAGGTTACCATGGACTTCGTCACAGGGTTACCTTCGAACCCTGGGGGTAACGACGCGGTGATGGTCGTCGTTGACAGGTTGACGAAGATGGCACACTTCGCTGCGTGCAAAAAGTCGATCTCAGCCGAGGAGACCGCTCGCCTGTTCATCGCAGCCGTTGTTCGCCTGCACGGGATACCAGCAGCGATTATCAGCGACAGGGACACGAAGTTTACCAGCAACTTCTGGAAAAATCTCTGGGAGCAGTTCGGGACCAGGCTACAGTTCAGTTCGTCCTACCACCCCGAGACCGACGGTCAAACGGAGCGGACGAATCAGACGATGGAGCAATTGATTCGTGCCACGTGCGACGACCCCACGACTTGGGAGCAGCAGCTGCCGCTGATCGAGATCGCGTACAACAATGCCACGTCAGCGACGATGCAGCAGTCCCCCTTCTACCTGAACTACGGGCAAAACCCTACAGTGCCCATGACGCCGAGTCCGGACAACCCAACACCACGTGCACAACAATTCGCCGAAATTCTGCAAGCTGCCCGCACCAGAGCCGCAGAAGCAATTAAAAAAGCAAACGTCATCGCTAAGCGCAACGCTGACCGCCACCGCCGCCCTGTCACATACCAGCCAGGGGATTACGTACTGCTCGACACGCAAAATCTGCGACTGCCCGACGTCCCAAAACTTCGACCGCGCTACTGTGGCCCATTCTAAATCAGCCACATGATCACGCCAGTAACCGCACACCTACTGTTACCGACCGACTGGTACATCAGCCCTTCGTTCCACGTTAGCTTGCTTCGCCCATACATCCCAACCACAAGCCAACTGCCACGCCACCGCCCGCCATCCATGACTCGCCCTGCATCGGAGCCGATCATCGCGCCCGAAAAAATCCTGAGCCATCGGATTCGACACCCCACGGGAATCAAGAGGATTGAATTCCTCGTTCGCTGGAAGGATCGCACGCCAACTGAGGACAGCTGGGTGCCCCTGGCCAACATCGAAACCCACCCTGCCCTGCAAGTGTACCTGAGGAGCCGGGGCTTCCGCGATATACACGCACTCGCGTAGCGGAGGGGGCTTCTTGAGGGGGGGGGGTAGTGTAAGGAATTTTCTCGATATTCCTTAGCGCACCCTGCAACATCGCGTACAGCCGCAGCCGTTGTTCGCCCGTTACTGCTAACAGGGCTTCGCCGACTTCGCGCGCACTGTTTCACCAAACCTCGCACTGCTGGCCTGACCGTGTCGGCCTACGCTTCGGGACTAGCCCGAGCCTCGCTTCCAGCGTAGCACTAGCTAGCTCGCACGCACCGCGTTACCGTTTGCATGTTTCGCGTATAAATGTTCGCTCATACCTTCGCTCACAGTTTGTACTCGTTTGACAACTTAGTGCAACTCTCGCTACTTCGATCCATTGCACCCGTAACATTATGCTATAAATGTTCGAGCATGTCTTCGCTCACGTGTGAACTGGTTTGCCAACTTAGTGCAATCTCTGTTTACTTGCTTCATTGCATCCTAAACAACTACCTAGAATGGATTTTGCATGATAGTGTTAGTTTAGGTGGTGATTGTACGTGTTGTACAGTTATGGAAAAATCAACAGTGGACGAGCGGCCTGCCATAAGATTTTCATCCACCTTTACACGTACAGTATGTACTGACATGCACCTGGCCCAGTGCACACACCACAGTACATGCTCCAAACGGCCTTGATTGCCAATTTCCACTTCTATTCAACAGCTTCAAACCCCGACCAGCCCATTAGCCAGTGTTCTGCATGCCAGCAGCAACACCCTTCATGGTGATAATAAGCGTGTCCTCAAGTCCGGGCGCATATGCAGTGGAGGGGTTGCGCCCCACCACATCAGACGACTGAGCCTTGGTGAGCCCTTTTTCTGCCGACAGCTCCTCCGCACTAGAGAGCGAGGAGAACTTGCCTTTCTTCCCCTCTCCCCCCTGTGCAGCCTCGTCACCCCCCTTGGGTGCTCCCTCCTCCTGGCGCATCTTCTTGAGCGTGAGCACTTGCATGACGTTGAGGGGCGTAATGTACGGGTCTCGCATGAGCAGGCGCTGCCGCAGTGTGGGAATGCTCTCCAGGGGGACTTTGTGCCCGCACACCTGTGACGGCACGGTAGCAAGAGTGTGGAAAGCATTGGGTTAGATGCGATGATGAAAGGTACTGATGGAGCTTATATGCGGGAATGTGGACAGAAGAGAAGAGAAGCAGACAAAGTTGTCGTGCGAGCACAACACAATGCATGGCAGCAGCAGCGCACCTTGAGCACCAAGTCCTTGCTCTCCTCGTACTTCTGCAGCAGCTCCTCCCCCAGCTCCTGCAGGTCAGGCGGTGCCAGCACTCGCTGATACAGCCGGGCGACTCGCGGGTCGCCCTTGGAGAAGACCATTTCCAGGAGGTCCAGGGTGACACGGAAGAAGGGCCACTGCTGGTACATCTGCTGCAGCTCGTCCAGTGCTTTTGTGTCCTCCTCCATCACTCCCCGCAACGCTGCTCCGAGGCCGAGCCACACGGGCAGGTGGAAGCGCGTCTGAGTCCAAGCGAAGATCCACGGGATGGCACGCAGCGTCTCCACTCCGCCGCCAGGCTTGCGCTTGGATGGCCGGCTGCCGATGTTCATGCGCGCGAACTCCGTCTCGGGGGTCACTGCGCGGAACAGCTCCACGAACCGTGGGCTCTGGAACACAACAGAGCGGTACTCCGCAGTGGAGAGCGGTGCCATGCGGTCCATCATGGCCTGCCACTCCGGAAGCGCGGCGCGCGGAGGGTTCAAGGTGTGGTCGAGGGTGGCGGCGGTGAAGCGCTGCAGAGTGCGGAAGCAGAGGTGCTCCTCGCCGAACGACTGCTCGATCACCTCGCCCTGCACCGTCACTCGCAGCCGCCCGTTCACCGTGCCTGGCGGCTGTGACAGAATAGCCAGATGCGTCGGCCCACCCCCACGCCCCACGGTGCCCCCGCGGCCGTGGAAGATGCTGAGGTGCACGCCGTGCTGCTGCGCCACGTCCACCACGCTGGCCTGCGCCTTGTAGAGCGCCCAGGCAGCGCCGAGGCGGCCGGCATCCTTGCCGGAGTCGGAGTAGCCAATCATCACCTCCTGCACACCGCCCTCCAGCGACGAGCGGTACAGCGGCAGCGAGAAGAGCTGCTGCAGCACGGCGGGCGCGTTGGTGAGGTCGTCCAGGCGCTCAAACAGCGGCACCACGCGCAGCGGCTTCTTGACACCTGCGGCGCGCTGCAGCAGCTGCACCTCGAGCACGTGCGAGGCGCTGGTCGCCATGGAGATCACGTACGCGCCTAGCGAGTCCCTCGGCAGCGCCGCCAGCTGGCGGAATGTGGTCAGCACCTCGCGCACCTCATCACTCGCCACCTCCAGCAGGTCGTCCCCGAAGAGCGGGCGGCGGCTCTGCAGCTCCTGGGTGAGCCAGTCGATGCGCTGCTGCTCCGGCCAGTCGTGGTACGTGCCGGCGCCCACGTGCTCTGTGATGGCGTTCATGGCGTCTGAGTGCCGCGCTCCCTCCTGCCGGATGTCCAGCCGCACCAGCGACAGCCCAAAGCACGCCACCTGCCACAGCACGTCCAGCAAGGGTATGAGAAGGGTTGTGAGGGAGTATGCTATCGGCGTTGAGCGAGGGAAGTGACGGGGTAGGTAAGCAGGCGGTGAGAAGATCAGAGCGAACAAGAAAAGCGACACACAAAGCAAGCCCCTTGACTCAAAAACCCACGAGGGCGTGGAATTACGTGTGACAGGAGCGAACGCAGGGCAGAGCTGTACCTGGCGCAGCATGTCGAGCAGCTTGCTGTTAGCCACCGCCTCATCCCCCACGGCACACAGTGACTTGTAGCACAGCTCCAGCGGCTCCATCAGCTGCCAGCACAGCGGGGCATCGAGGAGCACGAGAGCAGTGTGTTAGACAGTAGCAAGATAAGACAGAGAAGGGGCGCGAGGGTACAGGAGTGCATGAATTCAGGTGCGGCGGGTTTGGCCCATGGTCAGCCACCGTGGTGGTGCCCAGCAGCAACGCCCACAATGCACTCGCCGGTCACTACCTCTCCTGCCCCATCCCCACCGCCGAACCCATCCCCACCCACAAAACACCTGTGGCGAGCCATGCCCCACGGCCAGTTCCACCCTGCGACGCCAAGGCAAGCCATAGCGCGCATGGGCGTGGCCCCTGGCGTGTGTGGCACACCTGTTCAGGGTCGGTGTAGATGTCCTGTGGGGTGAACTCGGAGTGGCCCGTGGCCATGAGGTGCTGGATGTGGTCGCGCGTGTTCCACAGCTTGTCGCGCACCTCGCCCAGCACCACGCGATACGGCTCGTGCTCCGGGATGTCCTTCCAGAACTCTGCGCACACACGGTAGTGCGGAGCAGTGGCGCCGGGGAAGGGAGCGACGGGGGTGGAGAAGAGGAGCGCGAGGGGAAGATGGGTTAGGTGATGGGGGATTGGGGACGGGGGATAGGGATGATCAAAGAGTGTGCAACAAAAAGTGCGCTTTTAGTGGCACCAAAGTCTATATCACTCCTAGCTCTGCCGTCCCCATGTACGGCCATGGCTCACCAATGTAATGGCCGGAGTGCTTCTTGGCCCCCGCACACACCTCCACTGCCCGCTGCTTCAGCTCCGCACTCGCACGCCACATGGACAGCTGCAGGGGGGAAGGAGTCGAGGGCGGAAGATGGGGCCGGGTGGGGGAAGAGGGGGGCAGTGGACGGGGTGGGAGAGGGGGTGAGTGTGTGTTCACCAGTGATGGCTCGGATTGAGTGGCGGCATTAGAACGCGCCAGGGGTACAGCTGCTGGGAGCAGTGTGCAGTGACAGATGGGACCAAGGACAACCGGGGTGGGGGGGTTAGGAACTGACAGAAAGTGGTGTTACAAGGAAGTGCGTGTGCACACCGCTACAACGGGAAGCATAACAAGAAGCAGGCACTGCAAGGAGAACCATGAGAAGGGCCCAGAAAAGGCATGTGGCTGATGTGGTGGCGAGAGAGTGAGTGAATGAGTGCGTACGTCGAAGATGAGCGCCTCGATCTGCGTGATGTAGAGGTTGGTGACCATGAGGCGCGACAGGTACACCACGTCCCTCGTCACTGCTGCTGTCACCCTCGGATTGCCTGCAAGGGGACGGTGGGGAGCGGAGAGGGGAAGCAGGGGGTAAGAGACGGAGGAAATGGGGAGTGCGGAAGGGGTTGAGAGGGGTTCACTCTGATCATTCACTCTTGAGCCTTCTTCCACACAGCCGGCCCTCCACCCAAACTCGTGATCATAAACCACTAAAATTTCAGCTTCTTTCTTTAGCTTTGTTAATGTTTCTAGGAGTTTGTGCTCAAGCTCCCTCTTTCCATTGTAATATAAATGTGCTCCCGCCTCACACACACTCACCATCACGGTCGCCGCCCATCCAGGAGGAGAAGGCGATGATGGGCAGACGGTACGGCAGGCGGTGCGGCACTCCGAGGTGGCGCAGCGCGGTGTCGACGCGGCGCAGGAAGCGCGGCACGCCCGGCCAGATGGTCTCGTGCATGTAGCTCATGCCACCGCGCATCTCGTCCTGCGGGGTCGGTTGTGACCGCCGAATCTCGTCCGTCCGCCACGCCGCCTGAATCTGCGCGAGGGGAAGGCGCGAGTATTACATGGGAAGCCTTACGGGTTGTGAACGGAAGGTACTTCTCTGCTCATCCATTTTCCATCCCCCCCACCGCCCCCTCACCATCACAGCAAAATCCACAGCCAGTGATTTCTCTCTTCTCGTCCCCTCACATTTTCCCTCGTGCACCCCATTGCCCCCGCGCCCCCCTCACCTCGCTTCTGATCGCCTCCTCCAGCTCCTCCTTCCTCTCCGGCGACAGCTTCTGCTCGCGCCTCTTCACCAACAACTGCCGGATTCTGCGCGCGCACACCAGGGAGGGGGAGAGGAGGGTTGGGGGGATGGAGGAGCAGATGCGAGGGCGGAGGAATAGGAAGCGGAAATGCGGAAAAGCGGAAACTGTTGATATAGACGCAGTGGACTTTGCATAGTGCATGCATGCCCGTCGAAAATTTCAGTAACCAGAGTCGTCGACTTCATGCCTACCCCGTGCGCGCGCGCACCCACCTGGCGTGTTTCTGCAGCAGCGAGCGGCGCACGGACTGCGTGGGATGCGCCGTGAGCACGATGTCGACGCGCTGCGCGCACAGCGACGCGTAGATCTCGTCGGCGGTGCGGCCCTGCGCGCGCAGCTTGTCGAACGTCTCGATGATGGACGACTCCGTCAGCGCGCTGCCCTCGTCCTCAATCGCGCCGTGCCGCTGCTCCACCATGCGCTGCCTGTACGCCATCTGCACTCCCTCTGCCGCCGGGCCGCGCCGGGGGGGGGGAGGGGGAGGGGAGAGAGAGGGGGGGGGGGGGGGGGGAGGGAGAGACAAGGGAAAGGGGAGAAGCTTATGAGAATTATGGGATACGTCGAAATGGGCAGGAAACATCTAAATCTGTGCAGCTTTGAGCGTGCGAGCATGAGCGAAAGAGGAGCAGGGGCGCACCGGCGACGTTGTGGAAGGTAAGCATGTGCGAGAGCGCGGAGGCGACGAGGATGGACGCGGCGGGGTCGAGCCCCGCGATGACGGCCTCGAGGCGCTCCAGGTCCGCGGGGTCGCTGCTCCTGTTGTACTGCGCCGACAGCCCGTACACCGTCTCCACCTGGTGGCCGCGCGCCGCACAGAGGGTTTAAAAGTGAGGCGGACCGGGAAACAGGGAAAGAGGAGCACTCGGTATGGAGACGGGCTGCTTCTGCTGATGTGCTGCCCCCACATGAATTATGTGTGTCATGCAATTAAATGAAAGCGATGAATTGAATTCTTGGCATGACTGTTTGGTCACGATGTCAGAATTCTGTCGCAATTTTTTTTAGTTGACGTTCGAATTAAAGTCTAGAGGTCGAGAAGAAATATCCTCCTGGTGAGACTGTGACGTCATGGTAACACTCCCATGACGTCATTATGCAAGCTCAAGATGAAAAGCTGACATGATGAGAAATTTTGACGTCCTGGCGTCCGGAATTTCTCGAATTCTATTGAAAGACAATACAGGTATCATAATCGAGGGGGATTGAGCGCACCATAAGCAGAGAAGTACGGCTGACAATCCAAGATAAAAACGTGATGTAAACCTGATTCGGACTCACGAGCATGAAAACACAACGGCGCGAGAGCATGCGATCTTACCGCTTCGGCGATTTCGTTGCCTTCGAGTTGGCGCAGGATGGCGAGCAGCGAGGTGATGAGCAGCTCCTCGTCCTCCACGATGATGTCGTCGTCCGCCACCTTCTCGTTCACGCGCTCCAACGCCTCGTGCACCGACAGATGCTCCGGAAACGTGTGGATCCTCTCCAGAACCGCCCCTTCGGCGAGAGTACCCATGGCTGCTTGGTGTGTGTAAACGGTACGGAAACGTCTAGTTCCTTGCGAATCGCGTCACCAATAAACTTGATCAGAAAAGGTCCGAAATTGGAGATAGGAAGACCCTGCTAATCGGACACTGCTCAGAATGTGAGATGCGAAGAAGCGAATTGAAAATGTATGCGTGGGCCCTGGGAGGTTATCAGCGGAGCATGTGGGGGGATGGGGGGAGATTCAAGTGCGACGTGGCGTGACCTAACGCCACGCGGCACAGCAGCAAGATCTGTGGGCCGACTGAAGCTAGGATTGGAGGAAAGGGGTCGGTGGGCCAGCTGAAGCTTTCCTGGAATTCTGAGAGAAGGGGGGGATCTGGATAACGGCGGCGCGAAGTGTGGCTGAGGAGAATGTTGTTCCAATACACGCACTTCGTGTAATCCATTCAAGCGTGTATGCCGTAATTGTGTTACGGGTGCAATGGATCTAAGTAGCGAGAATTGCACTAAGGTGTCAAACGAGTACAAAATGTGAGCGAAGGCATGAGTGAACATTTATACGCGAAACATGCAAACGGTAACGCGGTGCATGCGAGCTAGCTAGTGCTACGCTGGCAGCGAGGCTCGGGCTAGTCCCGAAGCGTAGGCCGACACGGCCGGGCCAGCAGTGCGAGGTTTGGTGAAACAGTACGCGCGAAGTCGGCGAAGCCCCGTTAGCAGTAACGGGCGAACAACGGTTGCTGCTGTACGCGATGTTGCAGGGCGCGCTAAGGAATACCGAGAAAATTCCTTACACTACCCCCCCCTCAAGAAGCCCCCTCCGCTACGCGAGTGCGTGTATATCACGGAAACCCCCGCTCCTCAGGTACACTTGCAGGGCAGGGTGGTTTTCAATGTTGGCCAGGGGCACCCAGCTATCCTCAGTTGGCGTGCGGTCCTTCCAGCGAACGAGGAATTCAATCCTCCTGATTCCCGTGGGGTGTCGAATCCGATGGCTCATGATTTTTTCGGGCTCGATGATCGGCTCCGATGCAGGGCGAGTCATGGATGGCGGGCGGTGACGAGGCAGTTGGCTTGTGGTTGGGATGTATGGGCGAAGCAGGCTGACGTGGAACGAAGGGCTGATGTACCTGTCCGTCGGCAACAGTAGGTGGGCTGTCACTGGAGTAATCATGTGGCTGATTTGGAATGGTCCACAGTAGCGCGGTCGCAATTTCGGTACGACGAGCAGTCTTAAGTTCTGTGTGTCGAACAGTACGTAGTCTCCTGACTGGTACGTGACTGGGCGGCAGTGGCGGTCAGCGTTGCGCTTAGTGATGACATTGGCCTTTTTAATTGCTTCGGCGGCTCTGGTGCGGGCAGCTTGCAGAATTTCAGCGAATTGCTGTGCACGTGGCGTTGGGTTGTCCGGACTCGGCGTCATGGGCACTGTAGGGTTTTGCCCGTAGTTCAGGTAGAACGGGGAATGCTGCGTCGTCGCTGACGTGACGTTGTTGTACGCGAACTCGATCAACGGCAGCTGCTGCTCCCAAGTTGTCGGGTCGTCGCACGTGGCACGAATCAACTACTCCATCGTTTGATTCGTCCGCTCCGTTTGACCGTCGGTCTCGGGGTGGTACGACGAGCTGAACTGTAGCCTGGTCCCGAATAGCTCCTAGAGGTTTTTCCAGAAGTTGTTGGTGAACTTCGTGTCGCGGTCGCTGATTATCACGGCTGGTATCCCGTGCAGTCGAACGACGGCTGCGATGAACATGCGAGCGGTTTCTTCAGCTGAGATCGATTTCTTGCACGCAGCGAAGTGAGCCATTTTTGTCAACCTGTCAACGACGGCCATAACTGCGTCGTTACCCCCAGGGTTCGAAGGTAACCCCGTGACGAAATCCATGGTAACCTGCTGCCAGGCGCGCTCAGGTGGTGGAATCGGCTGCAACTGACCCGCCTTTCTTTTTCGCGAGCTCTTCATCACCTGGCACGTAGGACACGAGCCCAGATGGTGCTGTACGTCGGTCAACAACTCCGGCCAGTATTAATACCGCTGCAGTTGCTGTCGCGTTTTTTCTACCCCGAAATGTCCCGAGGTAATCCCGTCGTGTGCCTCCTGCAGTAACAGTTCCCTCAGTAGTGAGTACGCGGGTGTCAGAACATTATAGCTCATGCATATTGTGTAGGCTATAGTGGGGTAGCCCATAAGGGGTACAACCCAATTAGGGTTAGTACTTGTACCCAATTCATTCATAGTTCATCCATTCCTCGTTTCTTCTCATGGTATCGAGCAGGTTCCCTAGTGGGAACGCTTCCTAGGGCCCACCACGAAATTTTTTTTCCTGCCCGGAGCGCGCTTCGCTCCCACAGTCGCGCCCTCTCACGACCCCTCACGGCCCCTCGCGTCGCCCTTAGCGGCCCCTTACGGCCCCTCGCGCCGTCCCTTACGGCCCCTAGCGCGGCCCCTTACGGCCCCTTACGGCCCCTAGCGCGGCCCGTCGGCCCCTTACGGCCTCTTACGGCCCCTAGCGCGGCCCCTCGTGCCGCCCGTCGGCCCCTTACGGCCCCTTACGTCCCCTCGCGCGGCCCCTTACGGCCCCTTACGGCCCCTTACGGCCCCTTACGGCCCCTTACGGCCCCTCGCGCCGCCCGTCGGCCCCTTACGGCCCCTTACGGCCCCTCGCGCGGCCCCTTACGGCCCCTTACGGCCCCTCGCGCCGCCCGTCGGCCTCTCGCACCGCCCTCAGCGGCCCCTTACGGCCCCTTACGGCCCCTCGCGCCGTCCTTTACGGCCCCTCCCGCGGCTCCTCACGGCCCCCCCCCCTACGGCCCGTCGCCGCCCTCCGCGGCCCCTCGCGCCGCCCCTTCACGGCCCGTCGCCGCCCTCCGCGGCCCCTCGCGCAGCCCCTTCACGGCCCGTCGCCGCCCTCCGCGGCTTCTCGCGTCGCGGCCCCTCGCGCCGTCCCTTCCGGCCCACTGTCGCCGCCCCTACCGCAGCGGCCGCCGCCGTCCCTGCAGCAGCAGCCGCAGCCGTCGCCAGCAGCAGCCGCCACCACCTCCCTCGGGGCCGCGGCTGCTGCCGCAGCTGACTGCACCGCTCCACTCGGCCCCGCCGCCGCTCCCCACGCGGCCTCGCCGCGCCACCTGAGCCGCCCGTGCCGCCGAGCCGCCGTACCGCCCGAGCCGCCGTACCGCCCGAGCCGCCCGAGCCGCCGTGTCGCCGAGCCGCGCTTGCTGCCGAGCCGCCGTACCGCCGAGCCGCCCGAGCCGCCCGAGCCGCCGAGTTGCCGAGCCGCCGAGCCGCTGAGCCACCCGAGTCGCCCTGTCCGGTAAGTGCAGCGCCTCTGTCCCTGCACTGCCCTCACCCTACTGTTCGCGCTGCTAGTCTACTGCTGTCATGGCTACCCCTAGTGTCCTCGCCTTTGACGCTGAGGGTCGGGCCATTGACTTTGACGTCTGGGTAGATGACCTGCAGCTTTTCCTACAGTGCGATAGGGCAGACGGTCTCTCCCTCTTTGACCTCACCTCTGGTGCCTCTCCTGCCCCTGCTGCTGATGCCGACGCCACTGTTCGCTCACAGTGGGCCACTCGCGATGCTGCTGCACGTCTTGCTGTGCGTCGCCACCTGCCTACCTCTGAGCGTGCGCACTTTAGCCAGTACAAGAGTGCTCACACCTTGTACGACGCTGTAGTTGCGCGCTACTCCTCCCCTGCCACTGCTGCACTGAGCCGCCTCATGCTACCGTACCTCTTCCCTGACCTTGCTGCCTTTCCCACAGTCGCTGACCTCATTACGCACCTCCGCACTAGTGACACTCGCTACCGCGCTGCGCTTCCTGCTGAGTTCTGCGCCAAGAACCCCCCCCCCATGTACATCACCCTCTACTACATAGTCACCCGGCTCCCTGACTCCCTTCGCGTAGTCAGGGACCACTTCCTCTCCGTTTGCCCCACCACTCTCACCGTTGACCTCCTCGAGAAGTCCCTCCTAGCAGCAGAGAAGAGCATAGTCGCTGTAGGAGCCTCTCGTGGTGACCCTCGCACCCCCATCTTTGGGGGGTGTTCCCCCTCCCCCCTTTTGCCCTCTGTTGCCTCTGCTGCTGCGGCCGACCTCGTTGGGCTTGAGTCGGTCGGTGCGGCGTCTACCCCTAGCGGTGTAGTAGGACACGGACTCGTCAAACCGGACGTCACGGGAGTCTAGGAACTGGTGGAGGGGAGGGTGGTAAAAGGACCAGTCGGCAGAGTCCACTGGGAAACCAAGGAAGACACAGGGGACGGCGCGTGCCGAGAGCTTGTCCGCGGAGGTGTCGCGAACAAGCGCAAGGCAGCCCCAGACTCGAAAGGCCGACCCGACACCAGGGGAACCAGTCCAAAGACTGGTCGGTGAAGCCTCGGGCCGCGAGACACGCGGCTGGAGGTTCAGCTGGTGTGCGGCGTAGCGAACCGCGTGGGGCCACAGAAAATGGGGCGCACGGGCATGGATCATGGACGTGCGGGCGATGTCCATGACCAAGCCTATGCGGCGCTCAGCAACCCCATTCTGCTGTGGGGACTCTGGCAGCGTCCAGGACTGGGTGATGCCCTGTTCGTCGCAGAATCCGCCGAGAATGCCGGAGCGAAACTCGCCCCCACGGTCGGAGTGGAGACAACTGACTCGACGACCACGAGTGCCCTCAGTGGCTAGAAGCCACCTGATCAGCGTAGCAGTCACCTCGGACTTCTTCGCAAGAGGGAACACTGTGGTGTACCTGGAGAAGTCGTCGACGACCAACAGAAAGTAACGCTCCCTCCCAGACCCCTGCGTCGGGGCAGGGCCCCAGACGTCCAGGTGGAGAGTCTCGAAGGGAGCGGTGGCCGGACGAAGGGAGGAGGAGTGGGGGGTGGCGCGTAAGCGACCGGCGACGCACGGAGAGCAAGGAGGGGCAAGCGAGAGAGGGAGCGACGGGAAGGTGCGCGGGAGACCTGTGACTAGTCCCTGACTGAGCATGCCACGAAGGCGATGGATCGACGGGTGGCCAAGACGGTGGTGCCACAGGACGGTGTGGT